GAAAAATCAGCACTCAGCAAATGCAAATGGAAAACCACCCAGGGTCAGAGGCGTTCCCTGCAGACAATGATCACCAATTAGCAGACACTAATTCTCGTTTGCATATCTTCCCACCCTGAGGTCCTGCCATCAACAACAATACACATTTTACATGGGAATCACTCCTCCCTACCCAGGGTCTCACTGTGTGTGTGTGTGTGTGTGTGTGTGTGTGTGTGTGTGTGTGTGTGTGTGTGTACTCTCTTCCATTCCAGTATTCTCTGAAGATGCCAGCCACGGATGCTGGTGAAATGTCAGAAAGAAACATCAGAAACATGGCCACACAGCCCAAAAAACCCACAAAAAAATATTGGGAAATTTACTTTCTTTGGACAGCAACTCTCAAGATCTTCTAGCCAACATGTACTACTGGTTCAGGAAGTTGAGGAATTGTGCTCCAGAAAAATAATGGTCTGATTTTCTGAGCTTTAGCTCCCCTCACTTGGTGAAAAGTGGAGACTTTCCTTGTCATTGTTTGACAGTGCAGTTTTTATTTATACCTTGCTTTCCCGCATGGAAATTATGCCCAAGGGCAGTTCACATCAAAACCAACCAACCAGTCAATATGGCACACAGTGTGACAAATCAGAAATATGCATTCTACAATATCTCTGGAATGTCTGGTGTGTTTATCCAGTCACTCATGAGTGTGCAGTGATCAAATAATGTGGTGGATTTTTATTTTCTATTTTTAAATGTGTATAGCCTGCCTTTATGCCACCAGAATTTTGGTTGTGTTGTTTAACACTTGCAGCCCTTTGGCAAAACACTGGGTTGGAAGCAGGCTGGGTTTGTAATATTTACCTGTGAAACTTGAACCAAGTTTCCTGGCTAAAGGGAATGTTGAAAACACCTGCAAAGTGCTGCTCATTCTTAGGCAAGGCAATCTAGTATATTGCTCTTTCCCTCCCTCCTTTCCTTTATAAGGGATTAGAAGAATTCATGGAAAGTATAAGTGGTTACAGGTCATTTATAGCAATATGATTTCCACTTTAACTGCCAAAGCAACATCCTATGGAATTCTGGGACTTGCAGTTTTAGGAAGATACTTAGAATTCTCAAACAACTCACCAAACTGCAAACCCCAGGATTCCATAGGATGCAGCCAAGGCAGTTAAAGTGGAATCATTCTGCTACAATAGTGTTGTATAAAAGGGCTTATACTGGGTATATATTACCTCTTGTATCAAATAAAATTTGACTTTCAGTTCAGGTTGACCATGTATTTCATTTATGTTCTGTTTTCACATTGGTGCATCTGTTTGACCATTGGGAATAGAAAGGTTGGATTAGACGTTCCTTTAGTCTGATCTTGCTTAGGGCTTTTTGTTCTTCTTATTCTTATTTTATTCATTTATATCCCATCTTTCTCCTGATAATGGGACTCAAGACAGCTAACACAATATTTAAAACAATACAAAGTTCAAAGGCATTTTAAAAATAGAAATATAAGATTTTTAAAAATCATATGCTCTCGTTGGGAATTCTTGGTGTAGTGAATGACAAGTGTTTGTTTCTGCATCACACCCCCGTGAAAAAAGCAGCATTTTGCAGTTTGTTCATTGCAGCCACATTGCAACTGCACAGCATAGAACAGAGAAGGAAGTGAGAGGAGACAGAGTCCAAAGGAGGTGGAAAAGAGATGAAA